AGTCTTAATATAACAATCTTCATTTTTACAACTTACACTAAATGTTCATACAATCTCCATTCAATAAGAGATGAAATGAATGCCATCAAGATCAAAAGATATTGAAAATTTGTTTTTTTGGTAAATTTGCCCCAAAAGAAAATTTTTGGGGCAATGAATGAAAGAGAAAAGAAATGTTGTATAAATTAAAATGTTGAACAAGAATATTAAAGGGATATGGCTTTTTCAATAATTATGCCTCAAGCAAGAAATTGAAAAGTTTGAGTTTTGTGAAGAATTTTGGGTAGTAATGTGTTTGGAATAGTTTTGACATTTATCAAATTACCAAAATCTAGAATGTTTAAAAAAATGCCTCATCTATTGGCCTACAAAGAAATTTTCAAAAAAATAAATTGAAAATTTCATTGTTCATAACCTTAATAAAGATCATTAGCTTGGAAATCCTTCTTTGTCAAGTGAAAATCAGGATCATAGAACATAAAAGGTCAAGTTTTAAGTAGTGTGATGTTCAATTGAATTAGGGTATGGAATAGTAAGTGAAATAACTATGTATGATCATTTATGATAGTAATCACCAACTCTTTTAAGATTGTTTTCACAAAAATTTTTCTTTACAAAAAATATTTTTCAATCATGAAAAGAAATCATGTGGGATTTATTGTCAAACAATCTTAAATTCAAATGGATGAAGAAAGTTTATACAGATACCTGTACTCAAAACATAATAAAGAACAATAATTCATCTTCAAAACTTATGTACAAAAAAAAAAAAAAAACAAAGATTGACCCATACAAATGAAATGAAATAATATATATACAAAAATATTTACATGAATAAAAAATGTATATGCAAATTTATGTATATAATACATGGTACAAACAAAAATTTATCTTGAAAATTATGTACAAAACTAAAAAAGCAAAGATTCTCTCAAACAAATGAAATAATATACATATAAAAATATTTACATGGATGAAATGTATTGTAAATACATGTATGTTGTTAGCCTTGAATTGATCCTTATTTTGAAATGACAAAATATTAAGCTAAATAAGCTTGATCAAGATTTTGAAAAAGATTTATTTAGTATATGTTCTTAAGTTTTATATTTTGGTACTAAATAAATAATGTGATTTTCAAAGTTTAAACAAACCTTTCTTGGTTTCATATTTTTCAAACCAAATCTATCTTTAACGATTATTTATTTGAGCTTAAATGAAAGTCCAATTGTTGTTTTTAAAGTGAATTTATTCATTTTGGACTTAATACAATTTTAATAATATTGGTTTTAAGAAATAGACTAACTTAAGAAAGTTGTTTTACAAGAATAAAGTTTTTCAACATTGAACATGTTTTTTTTTTTTTATTAATTCACAAAGTTTTAATATTTAAATTTTATATGGTTGAAAAGCTTTTTGAGTTTACTTTCTAATGGATCAAACAAAATCAAAATCAAAATTTTTTTTAAAAAAATTTTAAATTTTTACTAGATACTCTGCAATTGTCTAAAAATTGCACAAGGGGTAAAAAATTTACTATAATTCATACACAATGAATTAGGTGATGAACTTCAGATGGATAGAAAGCCCTTAAAGTCTAGTTTTAAATCTTCAAACAATTTATGATTTAGATTTGTATAACTTAAGATATAATCAAATAAGTGAGTAGAGTGTAAAACAAGATACAACAAAGTAGCTTGACCGGATCGATCCCTAAGGTACAGGATCGATCCCCTGAGGTACATGATCGATCCCTTAATTGACCCAATCGATCGAGTACCAAAACTAATCAATCTGCTTCTGCTGTAACGGTAAAAAAATGAGTGAAATTTAAGAACCAATCGATCCCCTATCAATACCAATCGATACCTTCATCCCAAATAAGCTCTAAAGGCTAGTTTCAAAGGAAGAAAACATGATTTTTCATTTTCTAAGCATTCCCAATGGCTATTTTCTCAATTTCTCTATAAATTGGGCATCCTAACACACTAAGAAGATTGATGAAGTAAGAGAGTAAGTGCTAACAAATTATATTTTCATTTTCTCTTAGAATCAAGAGTTTTTAGAGCTTAAATTCAATATCCTTTGTATTTCTTGTATCCAAAATATTATTGTGTTTTCATTCATCATTTTTTTTATACTTCATTAGGCAGACACTCAACCTTGAGAGGTATTTTAGTTTGTAAAAATTATTCAGGGTTATCTTGTAAGCAAAAAGTAAGGTATCCTCTTGATATTATAATGGTAGGGGTTGCTATCTAACCCTTAAAAAAATATAGAGATTTTATACAAGATAGGTTTGTATCTTGCAAGAATTTTTCTTCAATTAGTGGATTGAAGCCTTGGTGTGAACAATCAAGAGAGAGAACGTAAGTGCATTGTGAAGAATGATCGAACCTCTATAAATCATTGTGTTTAATTTCTCTATCCCTATCTCCTTACAATTTATTGTTGTTTATATTTGATTTTAGGTTCATTAATTGTTATTGTTTGCATTATATTTTCATCAAAAGTGCTTATTATTTTAATTTTCATTCAATTATATTAAAATCATTTGTTTGGGAAGAATTTGAAGAAATCTAATTCACCCTCCCTTTTGGATCACCATTTCACCTAAAAAGCTAACATATGCAATGCATAGTAAAAACAATAATTTGTATTCACAACTATGTACAAAATTGAAAAGGCAAAAATAATGTATATACAAAAATTTACATGGATAAAAATGTATATACAAATACATATATGCAATATATAGTAATAATAAGAATTCATATTCACAACTATGTACAAAATTGAAAAGGCTAAGGTTGCCGCCCAATAAATGAAATAATGTACGTACAAAAATGTTTACATGGATAAAAGATGTATATGCAAATAAATGAATGCAATGTATAGTAAAAACAAGAATTCATATTCAAAACTATATACAAAACTGAAAAGGCAAATATTGCCCCTAAACAAACAAAATAATGTACATACAAATATATTTGATAAAATTTATATGAAGATGTGTGTAAATTCATATTCAAAACTCTGTACAAAATTAAAAAAGTAAAAAAAAAATATTCTATAATTTACAAGTAGGTATTCACTTCTTTTTATATATGAAAAAGAGACATGAAAGACAATAAAAATATATATACAAATGCATGTATATAATAGATGTGATCTTAGATCATATAACAATGATATAATACATTTTAAAATCTCACTTATTTTCTTATTTGTTTTAAAAAAAATATTTTTATTTTTGTACAAGATCAAAATTAATATAACAAAATATGTCCTTTCTGTGTCTTATTTTAGGGGTTTTCTATACATAGGGGAATGGTAGGGCTTTAACTTAGGGTTAGATTTTTAAAGTTTATTTACATGCTAGGTTTAAAAGTTTGATAATCTAAAAATTCTTAAATTATTCCTTACATCATTATTCATTATAAACAAGTAAGGCACCCTAATTCGTGCCCACCATTATAAGCTCAAACGAAAATGATTAAATTTGAGTGGAGTTTTCACTAACTTACATGAAGATTATCACTTCACAAGAATGTAGGTACTTGCTCGCTCTTAAAAAAGGATAAAGCTCTGGTCTAGAACTTATGCATGAATGCAGGTGTAATGTGTATAAAGGAACAAATAATCAAATAAATTAGTACACATGAAGAATTGAAATCTACCAAATAAAATAAATAAATTAGTACACATAAAAAATATAAGCTACAAAATAAACAAATAGGTTAGTGCAAATTAAGAATAATTACATAATAAAACCATCAAAATAAAGCTAAGATAACACACAACTAACTAATAGCTTGACTCTCTAATATCCCCAGCAAAGTCGTCAAACTGTCATAACGTTTAAGTTCGAAAACCTACTCATTAGACACAAAAATATGGAGTTACCATCAATATTTTTTTATTTAGGTATGATTGGTCACCTATGTGAATTTATTATTTTTAAGGTTATCCTAAACTTGAATTAAGGGTCTTTAAAAAGAAAAGATTCTGGTCTATATCAACAGAACTCATTTTGTGAGTCAGTTATATGTAGGGAAGGCTTTAGTACTCTGTTATGCCCCAAAATTAGTACCACATTAATCACATGTTATTTTGTTTAAACCTTAATTCAAATGGTTTTTAGTCCTTTTTATTTATGTACAAAATACTAATTAAAACAATGATACAAGCATATTTGCAAGTTTCTAATTATAAAATAATATATTTACATTTTTCTAAAAATATATAAATTAATTTTTATTTTCATCAATTAAACCAAAAGGTAAAAAAATAAAATCGAAATAAATAAATAATAAATAATAACTAGCAAAACAGATTAATTTTGTAAAAAATTATTATCACCCTAAACCACATTAAACAACAAATAAATGTAACACTACAAAAGAAATTATATCTAACCAATGCTCTTGGACCAACTTGAAATAAAGCCTACTACCAAGAAAAACTTTGCTGGACTCTATTTGCTTCTAGTATTATATATATGGCTCTCTTTGTTGGCTTGGTGATTTTTCTCCTCCCTTTGATTGAGAACTTTTTCCTCAAAATTCAAAACTGTGTTGTTTGATGATTGTTGATTGTATTGCTTCTTCTTTTGTTTTTTGATTCTTTAATTGTTAGTGATTTATGACTAAGAATTGGACTTTTTATATAGGGATTGAATCGTTTTTTAATTTAAAAATTTTAATACTAATTGAATTTATTAAGATCTTATCAAAATTTTTTCTCTCGTTAGAAACTTGATTCTTAAGAATTACCAAAATCAAACTCAATCTTTAAATTTCAAATATAAAGAAAATCACAATCTTAAAAAAAAATCAAAATTTATATTATTAATTTTACCAAATAAAAATAAAAAATACTTTTGAACCTTTAAATTTGGGCTTAAAAAATCACTTTTAAAATCCACTAATATAATTCAAGACTCAATAATATTAAAAAGATCCTGAACAAAATTAAATATCTACACAAAGCAAGAAAAATGATCAAAAGGGGTAAAGATGTATAAAAAGAATTAATAACTGAACTTCCAAATTCCAATAATGAAATAGTAGACTGAGAAAATTCAAATGGGACTAGCCTCGACTGAAAAATGTATATAACAATCATATTTGCAAAATGATCAGAGAGGTAAACTCTTCACGGATCAGATACTTTGTTTTTGCTAGTTCTTCTTCCCATCCTTTTTAGCGCCGTCACCTTGACGACATTGGTTCTCTGTGTTACATCCACTCTGATGATCATTGGCTTTCTCGTTTGGTGTGCTATTCGATGAAGGGTCCGCATGTGGAATATCCTTGTAGTTGATAAAAGTTGGTTTTCCATTCAAAGTTGTATCAGCATTTCCATTTGGGATCGGTGGCATACCGCTGTCATTGTTGTTGATTGTTGATAGCATTCCTTTATTCGTATCATCTCTGTTGCTAGACATGGCATGATATGCGCCAAATGTCCATATCAGAAACAGGAAAAGGTAGAATCTCGACCTGCAAGATTTAGAAGATATGGAATCAAATGATTATATAGCTTGAAAAACCCTTTAAATTCTATCGCTATTCACTAATGCATTGCATCATTAAAGTGAATATGTCCTTTTTATCAAAGATTTTTCCTTCAGAAGTTACCTCCTGGAAAATTTTAAGTACAACATCTCTTCAAATCTGACAAACCAAAAAAATAGAGTAGCAAGCTTGAATTTCCATCACATGGAAGGAAACAAATAAAATGAAGAATTTCACTAAAAGCGTTTCTAAACAAGCTAGATTTATTAATCTTTAAGCTTTCTAAACAACCTGAAACTTTCAAGTTAAAAGTTAACGTTCTGAAATCATGCTGAAAAAAAAAAAGATGTTCATTAAGGTTGATAAAATTTATGCAAGCTCTTTCCCTCTAAAAATGGAAGAGAAAGAATAAGAAACAGAGAGAAACTACCTGAAATAGAAAGAGATAAATCCTCTCTTTTCCTCTGTTTCCTCTGTTTCCTCTGTTTCATGATGAACATTCATTCATCGGCTGTTATTAGAATAGACTGGAGGTGGTTCGGAAAGCTTTAAATAGGAAGTAATTTAGGGTAACATATGTTTGGCAACCGTGTGTTCAGAATTTACTAGAAACTTCAACAATCTTCTGCCATTTTACTATTTCAGAACTAAAAAAAAAAAAAAATCAAATTGGTAGTATAGAAGTCCATCTTTAATTTAAATTTATCAAGTTTGATTAGGCTTTACTACGTGTGTTCAGTGTTGGTAAGGAGACTTAGTCTCGTTCGATAGGCCGGCTTAGTTGGTTACTCGTTTAGTCTCGCAACCCACCGCCAACTTATTATTTTCTTAATACACTTTTGTTTTATGAATCGATTTCAAGCTTAACGCCGAAAGTTTTAAGCCCGATGCAGCTCGGCCTAAGTCCACCTAGACTTGGCCTATAAACACCGTTCATATGCGTTGGAATTAGGCTTGTGTTTTGGTTTGAGCTTGGATCAAATCAATTTAATTTTAAAAAATTTGAGTCAATTTTAAATTTAAATTATTTCAAGTTTAATAATTTAAGTTTAACGTTAAGTTTAAGTTATCTCGTATTAATCAAAATTGTACTTAAACTTAAGACGTAAAAATCGGTGATGGCGCCGAATGAAAAAATTGGTCATGTTATCTAAATATTTAGATTATGATAAAATTATAATAGTAAAAAAAAAGGATTTTAAAAGATAATTTAAATTTATAAAATTAAAATAAATTAATATTTTTATAAATATAAAATTATACTTAATTTAAGTTAAAATTATTTAAAATCAATCTTTTAATTTATTCGAGTTTAAATTATTTTTGAATTCATTTTAAATATTACAAATGTATTAGGCTATTTACTAGATCTGTACTTAAGTTGCATTTGAATTCAAATGTACCCCACTCAAGTTACGTTTGTTATGAAAAATCGTGCTCAACGCACTGAACATCTATTTGAATGTATAATTTGAGGTGTGAAAATGAATTTTTTTTTTTTATTGGACGTTTTAGGTCCAGCTAACAAACTTACAATTGATTTTTTTTTTTTACATTTTTATCCTTTTAATTTGACTTATTCTCTTCCTTTTTTATTTTAATTTTTTTAAAAAAAATTATAAAATAATTCTAATTTAATATAACAAAAATACTGTTTAATATATTATTGTTATTTTATTAACAAAATTATTATTTATCATAAAAATATTTTTTTAAAATTTTTATTATTTATTAATTTTTATAAGTTAAATAATTTAAATTTTTATTACATATAAATTTAAACTAATGTCTATAATGGGTCAATTTTCATCTTATTAAAATTTATCTCACTTTTATCACTATATTTATATTCAAACATATATTTTTATCATTAATTTTAATATTATTGTTATAATAATTAATCTCACTTCTACCGTAACTTTTAATTTTATTAAAATTAATTTCACTATCTATCCAAATAAATTCTTAATAGAGGGACTCTCGAAAAACAATTTTCAAGTCAAATCTAACTTGTCTTAAATATTATTTTATTAATAAAATTATTTTTATTTGATTTTAATTTTAAGATTATATTTTAAATATCTATATTACCTTCTGTTAAAAGAACCTATATTAAAAGAATCTTAAGGGATTAAAGAATTGACAGCTGTCCAATTTTTTTTTTTTTTTAAGTTTGATGGCTTTGGGAGTATGAGAGGTATTCATGGATTTTGAGGTATGTTAATTTGTTGGGTTTTGAAACAGTGGACCTTTGGCTCATTTGTATATATCTATCTATCCTTTAAATGAAATTTATTATAAGGTTGTGTCTTGGGCTATATAAATGAGATTGTGAAAATTTAAGTTAACGATTTGGTATTTTGATAAAAATAATTAATTTTTTTTATTTTTTTAGATTATTAATGAGGATTAAATTATTAAAAGCTTTTAATATTTGTTAAGAGCTTTTAATTTTTCAAGATTGTTAATGTGATTGAATTATTGTATAACATACTAACTTCTATCAAATTTCTTAATTAATTTTTAATAATCACCAAAATTAAGTGAGCAAATTTGATATTTTGATAATTAAGAGTAGATTTTTTTATATAAATTTTCAAGATTATTAATGAAGGAGATTGAATTTAGGAGTGTAAATGATACATTAGTACTCGCAAGTTACTCGGGTTCGATTTGAAGAAAACTTGAATTCGGTTCGATTATTATAAAGTTGAGCTCGAGTTTGAGTAGTTCGACTTATCGATTGAGCCAAATTCGAGTATTCTTATATCCGACTCGAGTAGTTCGCGAGCCTAATCAAGCTTTTATATTTAAATATATTTTTATTATTTTAATTAATAAAATATTTCAAGTCCCGAGTTCGAGTTCGAGCATGAATAATCGAACTCTTGTCGAGTATACGAATCGAGCTTATTTTTACATATTAATCGAATTTAATCGAGCGAATTCGAGCAACTCGAATTCGATCACCAATCGAGCTCGAGCTTGAAAAATAAAACTCGATCGAGTTCAAGCCGAGTATCAAGCTTTAAGTTGTGAATCGAGCTCGAGCTCGAGCTTCTCACTATTCGGTTCGGCTCGATTCGATTACACCCTTAATTGAATTATTAAAAGTTCTTAATTTTACTAAGAGCTTTTATTTTTTTCAAGATTGTTATTAGAATTGAATTATTGCATTACATGTCAAATTTTTTTTTATCAAAGTTCATTAATATTTAATAATTACCAAATTTATGTGAGTAATATTAATATTTTGATCAAAGCAAATACTTTTTTTTTTCTTTTTTATCATTTTCATAGTTGTTAATGGATTAAAAATCTCTTAATATTTGTTAAGAGTTTTTAGTTTTTCAAAATTGTTAGCGAGATTAATTTGTTGCATTATATATGATATTCTATTAAACTTTTTAAGTAAAATATTAGATAGATCTCGAAATGAAACACTAGAAATTATTCTAATTAATATAAAAAAATATTTTTTAACATTTGAATAATATAAATATAAACAGCCTAAATGAAGTGATTGAGTCCGAATTTGACATTTACCCTAAAACTTGAGTCTAAACAATAGAATGATAATCATTTTATATTATATTTTATTTGGTAAATAAGATGATAGATTAGATAGTATGATAATCATTTGATATTATATTTGGTTTGTATTTAAAAAGAGAAAATAATTGTAAGGAAGATTAATAATACTTTTGGCATAAAATGATTCAATCTTCTCAAAATAGAGAAAATTATTTTTATTTCATGAGTTTGTACTTATATATTTTATTATACTTTTTAAATTTGTATAAACTTTAAGAAATGATAGTTTTGATCAATAAATAAAATTATTCTATCTTAATTTTTACACACATCAAATACAAAATAGGTTGATATTTTTTAATCTAATCCTATTATAATATCATTTTATCTTATCATATCATAATCTTATACATCAAACATAATCATAAAAAATAATATAAGACAATTACGCTATATCATTTTATGTCCCATTTCAATCAATTAATGTCCATCACATTTCTTTTACATGTCATTTAACACGTTATCAGCTCATAGTTTTTTAAAGGTTTAAATAAAAAAAAATCCTTTAGCAAAAGTTAAATAATTATTCAAATCTTTATTATTTTATTCTAACCAATTAAGTTTTCAAACAATTTTTTTTTTTACAATCAAGTCTTTAAGCATCTATTTTTATCTAATTGAATACTTAGTCATTTTATTTTCATCTAATTGAACTCTTAATTGGATGGAAATGTTGATATTGGTGGTTAATCAATTTTCATCCAATAAGGATTCGATTGATGAAATTAAATATTTGAAGACATAATTGATTATAATAAAACAATAATGACTTAAATTATTATTTAATTTTAGTTCAATGACTTTTTTATAGTTATACATTTTCTAAAAATTTCTGCCTCAAAATTCAAATAAGTTATATATGTTTTTTTTTTCTAGAATTGAAATTTAAATATAATTGCCAAAGGTTGCATGGATTATTAGTAAAATGTTAGATTTTTAATTTTATTGATTAAGATTCAAATTTTGATCACTCTAAGTATGAATAAAAAACATTTAAATATGATTTTTTCGACATTAAAATTTGAATTTGACTTTGTTCAAATCAGATGGCGTTAATCATAGCCTCCTCTTCTCCACTTTGATATCTATAATCTATAATCTATAATTAAAACTATCCTATTTCATATATTGATTGCACACCTGTGATAATGATAACGATAATGATAAATAATAATAATAATAAATAATAATAATAATAATAATGTGTAGGCTGTTTTGGGAAGACAAATTTGTTGTGAGGATCAGAATGTCCTTTTCCAAGCATGTCTCTTGCTTTAGTTTCTTTAGCTTTCATTTTTTTCCGGCCTTCCTTCTCTCCTTCTTACGCTCTCCAGGTGTGTTATCATTTATTTTTGTGCTGCAATTTTGTATCAGCGCTGATCATAGCTTTCGGTTTTTCACCCTTTTTGTAGTTATTCACTTCTGCATCTTTGCTCTTCTTGATTCAGGTGAGTAATGGCTTTTTTTTTTTTTTTTTGATAACTTCAATTTTTTTGGGTTGGGGTGTTTGGGTCTTGTGGGCATGCAAGACATGCGTGTTCTGGATTTGTTGTTTTCATTTGTGGTTTCTGATTTTATGCGTTGGTTTCTTTGCATGTGTTGATAGAGTTTTTCTTTTGCATGTGTTGTTTATTTTTGGGTATTTGCTTTTGTCTTTGGGTTGGATTTATTTTTGATACATGGTGTTTTTTTCGAGAGTGCTCAGTGTTGTTGTTTTTTTTTTTGTTTTTTTTTTTGGAGTGGTCTTTATTTGATGGATGAAGTTTTGGAACGTGGATTGTGAATTAACGGAATTGATGTAGTTTTTGATTTTATCTTTGTTTCTGAGTATGGTGTGTAGGATTGATGGAGCTGTTGTTATATTTTTATATTTTTGTTCAATTAATTTTGTTACTAAGTTTCATAACAGTGGTTTAGGTCTGATTCAATTGTGTAATTCTTAACATATGTGTTTGTGGCTTATGGAAAATAATGTTTGATAATTGGTTGAAGTGAAGGTTTCATGTTTTTTTTTGTTCGATTCTTTAACTTCAGGTTCCTGTTCCTTTTATTCAATCTCATTTTGCAATCAGTGTTAAGTATTTTCAAGTCGTTGGAGTGCCCTTTATGACTTGATGGAAAACAGAGTTTTATGATTGGCTTGATTGCAAGTTCCAAGCTTTGATGCAATGGCTTTTATAATTTGATGAAAAACAGAGTTTTATAATTACTTAGAGTGCAAGCTTCAAACCAATCATTGTAATCTGTTTAAGTTTGTAAAATTGTTAAGAGTTAGATTTAATTAAGTTGGGAAATGTATCTGAATCTTCGTTTCAATGTATGTTTTATATTAGACAGATAGAATTCTGACGCAATATATTTTAACATTTTCCTAAAGGAATATTAAATTAATTAAAATTCTGAATAAAACGAATTTTTTTCTTAGAAGATTGCAAGTTGCCCTTTCCATGGTCCCCATGGTCTTCCTTCCTAGCATTAATTTATAGAAGGAAACTCCTTTTTCATTTATTTGCACGTTGGAACTTTTACATAAAGGGATACGGCAATTGGTCGAACACCTACAAAATTCGGCGAAAACAGCCAAAACCAACCGCAAAATTAATAGTCAGAACAGTCCCATAAAATCAACTCAATCAGATAGCCAGCAGCCAAGAGGCCCAGGACTTCGCTTAGGGTTTATGGTTGACAGAAAAGCAATTGGCATATGTCCACCATAGACAGAAGGAAAAAAAGAATTAGATATACTCAACTAGATTGTAGAATCTCTATAAAAAGAAGCAAGAGTTGGATTTTACAAGGTATAGACAAAAGAGAGAAAAAGAAAGGAAAAAAAATGGGGAATCCTCATATTTTGGTTATACCTTATCCAGCACAAGGCCATATCATTCCTCTTATGGAACTATCACAAAATTTGGCTAAACATGGCTTCAAAGTCAGTTTTGTAAACACAGAGTTTAATCACAAGAGAGTCATGGATGCATTTGCCAAGAAAGTTGATGCAGATGAGGTAGTTCAATTGGTTTCAATCCCAGATGGGATGGAAGATGGGGAGAGCAGGAATCAACTAGGGAAGTTAACTGAATCAATTTGCCAAGTTATGCCTAAAGAGCTGAAGAAGCTTATAGAGAAGATTAATAGATTAGAAGATGGTGGGATTACTTGTATATTAGCTGATGTGAATATGGGATGGGCATTGGAAGTTGCAGCAGAGTTGGGAATCCATGGAGCTGCCTTCTGGCCTGCATCAGCCCTTTTGTTGGCCTTGACTTTTAGTCTTCAAAAGCTAATGGATGACGGCCTTATTGATGTAAATGGTAAGACCCTTTTTCACATACGGAGATGTTTTTATTTATTCAAAACAATTATTTTAACTTCTATTATCTGATCAGATCCTCAGATTTTAACTCTTACTATTCAATTATAAAGTATAATTTGGATTCCCTTCCTATGTATATGGCGTTAAATGAATTCTATAATTGAAAGCTTGATGAGGAAACATATTACTGACTTCCTCTCTATCCCATATGTATATTTTTTTAACAAAGGAAGCTGCAAGCTTGAGAATGAAAGAAGGAATTGCTGGTGTTGGAGATTGGAATCCTAGATTGTTGGATGCCACCTCTTACCTCTTAAGATCAATGGCTGCATCAGCCAATTGAACTAAACTTTGAATTCATCCATGTGTAATTTTTATGTGCATACATATTAAGAAAAGGTAAATTTGGATTTGGCTTCCATAAAAAAAAGGATATTTTTTGGTACACAAAGAAAAAATGATATTGGCTTCTCCTTAATGTGTCTTTGAGGATGAAGTTCTTAGAGATAAAGAGGTATATGTGGAAAGTGCATATTGTGTACTAGTTGAAGACTAATTCCAGAAAAGTTAAAAATTGCAGTGTTCCCACTTTTGTTCCTATAAGGTGTTTTGACTTTGACTTTGACTTTCTAAAATTTTGTTATGAAATGTATAATGATGATATTTCTAGGCTCAAATTTGTTTATTGTAAGATATGAAACTATAAGCAGAAGCCAAGCAAAAGAAGCCTACGCATGAGCTTAGATATTTGCCTTATTCATTGTTGAAATTTGATTTGGCAGGTACTCCAATTGATAAAGATAAGCTGATTCAATTGTCACCAACCACACCTAGCATGCACCCTAAAAATTTCGTTTGGGCTTGCCTTGGTGACCTTTCCACACAGCAAGTAATTTTTGACTATATGAGGAGAAACAACAAAGCTGCTAAAGAAGCAGATTGGCTAATTTGCAACTCCACTCGTGACCTGGAGCCTGGAACATTTTCCATGGCTCCAGAGATCCTTCCCATTGGCCCAGTTTCAGCTAGCAGTCAGCTTGGTGACATATCAGGAAGTTTATGGCCAGAGGATGCGACTTGTTTGCAATGGCTTGATCAACGACCACCAGGTTCAGTCATATATGTTGCATTTGGCAGCCTAACTATTTTTGATCAAATCCAATTCCAGGAGTTGGCTCTGGGGCTGGAACTCTCCAACAGACCATTCCTTTGGGTCGTGAGACCAGATACAAATGAGGGAAAAGATGATTTTTACCCGCAAGGATTTTGGAACAGAGTAGGCACCCGAGGACGGATGGTTGGTTGGGCACCACAACGTGTGGTTCTGTCTCACCCTTCTGTTGCTTGTTTCTTAAGCCATTGCGGATGGAATTCTACTATTGAAGGTGCAAGCAATGGGGTCCCTTTCTTGTGCTGGCCTTACTTTGCTGACCAGTTCCATAATGAGAGCTACATTTGTGATTTTTGGAAGGTTGGATTGAAATTTGAAAGAGATGAAAGAGGGATCATCACACGAGAAGAGATTAAGACCAAGGTTGAACAATTACTTGGTGATAACAATTTCAAAGGAAGGGCTCTTGAACTAAAGGAAATGGCTATGATAAGTGTCAATGAAGGAGGTAGCTCTAACCAGACATTCAAGAATTTCACTGAATGGATGAAATCATAGATAGGTTCTTTTCTTTTATGTTGGACTCAGTTTGAGGTTTATTTTTTCTTTTGCCAAAAGATTTATGAAAATTTGGAAATAAACCAAGACAGGATTTCCTATGCAAACAAAAATGGTTAATCATGGGTGACGGATTTAGAATTTTTGGTCAGGATTCCTGCTTAGAATACCTATAAAAAAATTGTAAACAAAAATTTTAAAAAATATATTATTATATTATTATAATTGTCCATGATAAATTATTGTATCTAAAAAAAAAGATGTAATTGCATTATTGTTAATATTATTAAATATTTATTTTTCAATATATGCAATTAAACAATTATTCAACCAAAAACTTAAAATAAGAAGGGTATCAAAAAATTTTTTGAAGTATTCAAAAGAACTTTTTTTCCAATATTTTTATTTTTTAAAATTTTTTCGGTGTCATGAATGCCCTATATTGAGGCATGGATCCGCCTCCGTGAACCAACATGTTTTTCCACTTCACCTAAGTGCCACAGTTAATAAAATTACTTTTGGAGATAATGGCAGGTTCATTGGTCATTTTAGGCACACCAAAGCAAAAGTTATTCTTGAACTGTTCTATAATTTTCAATTTTAGAGTCCTTTGACTTATATCTTTACTATTTCCTAATAGCAGGTTGATGTGGTTTGAGATGAGACCAAGAAAATCAGATTATCACCATACTCATGGACAAATTTAGTGCAGATAGCAAGATGAGTCTTTTGAACACATTCAAAAGCAGGTGATACCATGACTTGGAAGAACTCCAGTGAGTTTTGTTTTTTGAGGAGGCTGATTGATCCTATTAAATGTCAAAATCTTATACTTGCAATTTTTATATTAGACTAGAAGAGTGACCCGGCTTCGCCCGGGTTATAATTTTTTAAAATTTTTGTGAAATATAAATTATATCATTTTTATATAATAATAACAAATATTTTTTTATTTTTTAAAAATATAATTTTTTACAAAAATAAAAAGTAGATGCTTGAATGTGTTACTCAATTGTAATTGAATAAGTATCGACTTCTATTTTTAAGAAAAAAATCAATAATTTTAATATGGTAAGAGGGGCATTATAGTAATTTTATCCAATAATGGTAGGAAGGTATTTTTATAATTATGGTTGTAAGAGCATTATAATAACTTTGGCCAATTATGGTAAAAAAAGTATTTTACTAATTATTTTAAGAGGAGTGTTATAGTAATTTTGGTTAATCATAGAATGAGAGGTATTATAGTTGGTTTAAATGCGTGCCATTTAATTGTTAAGCAATTAGAAGGCCATTATAATAATTTCCAAGTTGATTACTTTCGTATAATTATTTAGATGTTAAAATTTAATATATAATTATGAAGTAATAAAAGAATATTTTCATAATTATGATAAGACGATATTGTAGTGTTTTTGATAAATTATAATATGAGGGTATTTTAAAAATTATGATAAGAGAGATACTATAATAATTTTAAAAAATGATGGTACGAGAGCATTTTAGTTATTATGATAGCATGGGTATTATATTAATTTTGATCAATTATGGTAAGTGATGTATTTTAGTAAATATGTTAAGATGATCATTATAGTTATTTTAGTAAATAATAAAAAAGAAGGGCATTAAAATAAATTTGGCTGCATGTAATTCAATTGATAAGTAATTAAAATGGCATTTATGATTATTTCTAAATGGATTAATTTTATATTATTGCATGAATGTTAAAATTTAATACATAATTATAAAGCAATCAAAATGATATTTTGTAATAATGCTTAGAGGGTATTATAGTTATTTTGGTCAATTATAATATGATGGATATTTTCATTATTATGATATAAGAGGCACTATAAGAAGCAATCAAAAGGGTAATTTTTGTAATTATAGTTAGAAGGTATCATAGTAATTTTAGCTAATTATAATATGAAAAGTATTTTTGTAGTTATGATAAGAGGGCATTTTCGTAATTATGGTTAAAAGGTATTATAATGATTTTGATAAATTATAATATAAAGGATATTTTCCTAATTATTATTAGAAGGCATTTTTTTAATTATGGTTGTAGGGACAACATAGTAGTTTTGGCTAACTATGGTAAGAGGGATACTTTAGTAATTATGTTAAGAGAGATATTATACTAATTTTAATTAATCATTGAAAGAGGGCCATTACAATTAATTTGGATTCATGTAATTTAATTGTTAAGTAATTAAAAAGGCATCTTGATCATTTGTAATGGGCATGTAATTCAATTACCAAGTAATTAAAAGGACATTATGATCATTTGCAATGGGATTAATTTCATATTATTGTATGTATGTTAAAATTTATTGTGCAATTACGAAGCAATCAAAAATGTATTTTTATAGTTATGGTTAGAGGATATTATAGTAAATTTAGCCAATCATAATATGAGGAATATTTTCACAATTATGGTTGGATAGGTATTATATGAAGTAATAAAAAGGGTAAGTTTTTGTAATTATGGTTAGATAGTATTATAGTAATTTTTGCAAATTATAATATGATTTTCGTAATTATGGTTAAAGGGTATTATATTAATTTTGGTAAATCATAATATGATAGGTAATTTTGTAATTATAGTTAAAAAAGTATTATAGAAATTTTGGCAATTGACTGTAGACATTTCCATTATTATGATTGTAAGAGTATTATAGCAATTTTGGTCAATTATGGTAAGAGGCAAGGATAGATGCACAATAGAGGCATTGAGGCAAGTTGCCCCTATTGAGATCTTTGTCTCTTTAAAAATATATTATAAAAATATTAAAAGTGTTTAATTTCTTAATAATGGCCCCATTGAAATATATATATATATATATAATATGTAAAAGTCAAACTTTCATTAATTAAAAGTGATAGGTTTTTGAATAAAAAAATATTTTAAGGTTATTATAACAAAAAAAAAAAAGAAGCAAATGAATGGATTGTAAATAAAAGGAATCCACTTTCCATTTTCTTCTATTTACCTCACTTGCAACTTTCAATTTTCAAACAAAAATAGACACAATTAGAGAAGAAAATTAAAGAACTAAAAAAACAAAAATATAGTCTTCAAAGTACAGAAACAAATTACAAGTTGGTTATTTTCTTCTTCTAACAAGATATTCAAGTAAGTTATTTTTTTATATATATTTATAATTAGTCAATCAATTTTTTATATATTTTTATATATAGTGTTTATTTATTATTTGAAAATTGTTATATTGATGAAATAATTTGATCATGTATTCATGTTATTGATAGCATTTATATTTTTTTAACATGTTTGAATTTTTTGTGTTTTATATTTTTCTTTATTTTTTTAGATATTACTCATTCAATTAATAACTTTAAGTTTGATAAAGATTAATTTTTATATAGAGATTATAAAATTAGTTAGAAGTTCTATCCAATTTCTTGCATATCAAATGGTTATAGTATGTGAATTGCATTTCTACTCATATATTTCAAATATAGGGTTAGTTGATCTTTATTGACATGTATAATTGTATTTAGAATATACGTTCTTATTTTTTTTATAAATTACATAAACTAAACTATTTAATTTAATTAGTTATGGATAAATATCTTATTAAAAGGAATCAATTTTGTAGAATTCATCTAGAACCAATACTAATGGCATACAACATTGTACAAAGCAAGTTCGTGTTGAATTAAACTTAGATGATCTTCCTTCGGATCTTGGGTTACAAAAAAAAAAATTTAGACTGTAATGTTAATGATAGAGACAAGGTTTGAAGAGTTTATTTGCAAAAAGGTCCATGTCACACTTATGAACATAATTTTGTCAAAAAAAAAAAATGGAAAGACATTATGTTGTTTTATTCCTATCTGGTTCAAAGATTATGTTAATTGGTTGGAATATCATACAAAGAATGATGCCTCTTTTTGTTTGTGTTGTTATCTTTATAGAACATATATTGAAGAGCAAGCAGGTGGTGATTGTTTTGTTTTAAATGGATTCACAAATTGGAAAAAGAAAGAAATAATTGATATTCATGTTGGAGGTCCTAACAGTGCTCGTAACAAAGCTTGGAAATGTTGTCAAGATTTGCTAAATCAAAAGCAATATATTCAATTTGCTTTTGCAAAACAATTTGATCAAGCACAAAAATATTATCGAGTTCACTTAACTGCGATACTTGATTGTATTTGCTTTCTTGTATGTCAAGGTTTGGCATTTTGTGGTAGAGATAAAATTGAAAATTTTCATAATCAAGGAAATTTGCTTGAGCTTTTTAGATTTCTTGACAATTATAATGAAATCATCAATGGTGTTGTTTTGTAGAATGAACCAGAAAATTCAAAAGTGATAGCATATGATATTCAAATGATCTTGTTCATGCTGTAACAATTAAGATTGCCAAAACTATCATGGAAGATCTTGGAGGTGGATTATTTTTCATTTTACTTAATGAATCTCATGATGTTTTAATCAAAGAACAAGCTGCTATTACTTTGCACTGTGGATTTTTAAGGGCATGTTATTGAACGTTTTCTGGGTACAATATATGTCAGTGATATAATCACTTTGTCACTTAAAGTAGCTATTAAATATTATTCTCTAAGCATAATTTGAGTAGGTCAAGGATTCATGGGCAAGGTTATGATGGAGCAAGCAACATGCAAGGTGAATTCAATGGATTAAAAATTTTGATCATGAAAGATAATATATCTACTTATTATGTTCATTGTTTTGCTCATCAACTTCAATTGACACTGGTAGCTGTGGCAAATAATCATGTTCAAATTGTTTACTTTTCAACATAATGACAAATGTGGTGAATATTGTCGGGGTTTCATGTAAATGAAGAGATTTTCTTTAAGAAAAATAACTTGATAAAGTTGTTGAGTCATTACGAGTTGGTGAACTTTCTATGGAATGAGATTTAAACCAAGAAATAAGTGTTCAACAAGTTGGGGATACATGATGGGGTTTACATTATAGAACTTTGATAAATTTGATATTTATGTTTAGTTCTATCATTGATGTGTTTGAAATTGTTATGAAGGATGAGAATAGCTCGAAGCAAAGAGGTGAAGTTTTTGCCTTATTAGATTCGACTCAATCTTTTGACTTTTCTTTCAACTTGCATTTGATAAAAAATATATTGGGGATTACAAATGAATTGTCCTTGCCATTACAAAGGCGAGATCAAGATATTGTGAACGCGATGGCATTAGTAAAAGTAGCGA